GACGGGCAGAGGAAAACTCCCCGCCTCTGTCAGAGTGCAGACGCAGAAGAGGAAAGTCCGAGCCGAAACTCTCTCTGAGCTGGAGACGAGCCACGCGGATCCAGTCGATCAACACCTCAGTGACGTCACCCTTGCTACGCAAGGGGAACACCTTGGTGTAACGCGAGTAGTCGTCAACCACCAACAGGAAGTAACGCTCGTGACCCTGGTCACGGACGCGGGCGGGGCCCCACACGTCCATGTGAAGAGTCTGCAAAGGAGCCTCTGTCGGAGGAAACTCGGAGGAGTGAGGGGCGGCGCGCTGCCGCCCCTCGACCCAGGTAACGCAGGTAGGGGCAGGCCCCGGAGGGAGGGGAGGGAGGGGCCGGGGGAGACCAGAGACAAGGACACGGGAGGCCATGCCTCGGAGACGAGGTAGGGAGGGGTGACCAAGGCGGTGGTGCCAAAGGAGAGTCTGGTGGGACAGGAGACGACACGAGCAGGGAGCAGACTCAGGACCAGACCTGGACGCTGCAGCAAACACCTGACTCGACGCAGCTACCTGACCAGGCTCAGCAACCAGAGGAGACTCAGTAGTCAGTGTGTACAGGCTCGACCCCGGTCGACGGGTAAACGTGGCCAAGTGTCGGCCCGTCCGAGCACACGTAGAGTGGGTCACCTGCTGACTCGCATGAGTGAACTGGTCAACTCCCCCATCCTGTAGATTAGCACCACTCACCAAGTTCATAGAGAACGAGGGGAGGTAGAGACCTTATAGGGTGCCAAAGGGGGCTGCCGGACACGGTAAGACAGTGGAGAAGCGAGCAAGGACAGGACCCCCAGAGGGGTCCGCCAGGGAGACCGCAACCGGCCGACTAAGCGGCGTAAGCGTGGTGCGGTCTCGAAAGAAGGAGCGGGAAGCACTCGAGTCAAGGGTGAAGGTGTGTAAGGCCTGAGCCGACGTGGAACCTGAGAGAGCAGACTCACCAACACCTGGGGCAGCAGACGCACTAGCACCTAGAGCAGTAGCCTCACCAGCACCTAGAGCAGCAGCCTCAATGCCCGGGTCAGGCGGAACACACAGGTAACAGTCACCCTCATCACTAGTAGGCTATGCATACATGGCAGTGAGGATAGCATCATAGTCAAGAGTATAGATATCCACCCGCAGCCTAAGCAGCTCCACCCAGTCGGGGAGCTTAGCCGTGTCGCCAAACTCCGTACGCCAGGCGTCGCTCAGACGAGTGAAGCAGCGGGACTCTGTATGACCAAACTTCCCGCAAGGCTGACCAGACCGAGCACCAATGGGAATGACGTACGGACAGCGAGCAGTACCCCATGACCTGCCACGCTGAGCGTACCACTCACGAAGCTGCTGGGGCGAAAGGACCGCGCACGGACGACGCTGCAGCTGCACCTGGCCACTACAAGCAGCTGCCAAACTACTCACTTTAGGACGACTCCCACCACGGCCACCCCGACAACCCCTAGTAGCGTACCACTCACGAAGCTGCCGGGGCGTGAGGGACTCACGCGGACGTCGCTGGAGCTGCATCTGGCCCCGCCAGGAGCAGCAGTAGCGGTAGAAAGAGCAGTAGCAGCAAGAGCAGCAGTAACAGCAGTACGGGCATGGCAGTGCTCACCAGTGGCGAGAAGGGCAGGCGTACAACGGCGGCAACGGCGAGGACGCTACCACTGTAGGGCGAGGGCTCTGCGGCTACTGCAGGGGCGGCTACTGCGTGGGCGGCTGCTCCAGGGGCGGCAGTTGTAGGGGCGGCTGCTCCAGGGGCGGCTGCTGCAGGGGCGGCTGCTCCAGGGGCGGCTGCTGCAGGGGTGGCTGCTCCAGGGGCGGCTGCTGCAGGGGAGGTTGCTCCAGGGGCGGTTGCTGTAGGGGCGGCTGCTCCAGGGGCGGCTACTGCAGGGGTGGCTGCTCCAAGGGCGGCTACTGCAGGGGTGGCTGCTCCAGGGGCGGCTGCTGCAGTGGCGGTTGCTCCTGGAGCGGCTGCTTCAGGGGCGGCTACTCCAGGGGCGGTTGCTGCAGGGGAGGCTGCTCCATGGGCGACTGCTGCAGTGGCGGCTGCTCCAGGGGCGGCTGCTGCAGGGGCGGCTGCTCCAGGGGCGGCTGCTGTAGTGGCGGCTGCTCCAGGGGCGGCTGCTGCTGTGGCGGCTGCTCCAGGGGCGGCTGCTGTAGTGGCGGCTGCTCAAGGGGCGGCTGCTGTGTGGGCGGCTGCTCCAGGGGCGGCTGCTGCAGGGGTGGCTGCTCCAGGGGCGGCTGCTGTAGTGGCAGCTGCCCCAGGGGCGGCTGCTTCAGGGGCGGCTGCTCCAGGGGCGGCTGCTGCAGAGCAGGCTGCTCTAGGGGCGGCTGTTGCAGTGGCGGCTGCTCTAGGGGCGGCTGCTGTAGTGGCGGCTGCTCCAGGTTCGGGTTAGGGCAGGGCGCCGCGGCGGGCAGGGGTGACGCCACGCGGGTCCCGCAGGGGCGTCGCGACGCACAGGAGCCGCGCCTCGCGGGTCCCGCAGGGGCGACGCGACGAGGCGGGGGCGACGCGGCGGGGCCGCGACTGGCGACGGGGCGGGGCCGCGACTTGCGACGGGGCGAGGCCGCGAAGGGGCCGCGAAGGGAGCCGTGAGGGGGCCGCGAAGGGGCCGCGAAGGGGCCGCGAGGGGGGCCGCGAGGGGGCCGTGAAGGGGCCGCGAAGGGAGCCGTGAGGGGGCCGCGAGGGGGCCGTGAAGGGGCCGCGAAGGGGCTGCGAAGGGGCCGTGAAGGGGCCGCGAAGGGGCCGCGAAGGGGCCGCGAGGGGGCCGCGAGGGGGCCGCGAAGGGGCCGCAAAGGGGCCGTGAAGGGGCCGCGAAGGGGCCGTGAAGGGGCCGTGAAGGTGCCGTGAAGGGGCCGTGAAGGGGCCAGGAAGGGGCCGTGAAGGGGCCGTGAAGGGGCCGTGAAGGTGCCGCGAAGGGGTCGTGAAGGGGCCGCGAAGGGGCCGCGAAGGGAGGCCGCGAAAGGGGCCACGAGGGGCTGAAGGGGCCGCGAAGGGCCGTGAGAGGGGCCGTGAGAGGCCGTGAGAGGGGCCGCTACGGGGCCGTAGGGGAGCGCGACGGGCCACTAAGGGCAGGGGACGCGACGGGAGGGTAGGCACACGGGGCGCGACTCGGGCAGGGGCGAATCGCGCTCCGGGCAGGAAAAAAATAATCGATATTCGGTGGGCCCTAGGAAACATTCCCACTAGGGAACCTGCTCTATACCATGTGAAAGAACGAGGAATAAATGAAGTAGCAAGCAGGTGGGTACAAATAGGAAAACCTAAAAGTGTTGTACCCCATATTGTCTACCCCACTACAGCCTACACAGACTATAGCATATGAGTTTGACAACCATTCCACATCTCTTTCCGCTATATACCGTCATTCCGCCTCTCGTTCCGCCATCTACTACCATTCCGTCTCTTATTCCGCCATCTACCACCATTCCGCCATGCTCATCCATAAGGAATTATCCCGCAAACCCGTCGAAAGCACCTACTAAAGACAGTGGAGAAGGGCGAGGCAACCTGGATACTGGCAGCTCCGCAACGGCAGTGGATAACAAGGATTGGCCTTGCTGCGTTTCTAGATTGTGACGTGTGATCGTAAAGGATGGAACGCATGAACTAGTGCAACAACTGCACTCCTTATGAGAATGGTGAAATTGTGTATCTCATAGTTCTCTGACCCTTGTAAAATGCTTGGTGTGCACGCGGGAGAGAGAGTTGTTGCACTGCACCCTATCGTTTCGTCGCGCAGGTGTGTTTTCCAAACAGATGTTACCCTCGAAATGCGGGGTGAATTTAAAAAGTGGCTCTGATACCAGATGTTATGAGTTGCAACACAGAGTTGAGCGGAAAACGAATAACGAAGCTTGTGACTGAATGAATTGACGATACAATGGAAGACCCGCGATTATATAGCGGTCCAACCTAGCTACGCGGGAACCTCGGGAACACGATGTTGGGTGCAAGTTGGGCAAATGAAAACCGAAAGCAACGTGAGGTTGCTTCAGCACCAAGCAAATCGTCCGAACATGCGCTTCCGAAAGTTGGGGTTGTGCGCGAAAGAGTAAACCCCAGTAAAAAAAAAATGTGCCTTGTTGTAGGGAAATCTAATTCCTTGTTGTAGACATCCTGTAGCTGGGATGTCAAGAGCATCTCACGTCAGAACCATTTCGAAGCCGCCTCCTCACCAATCGCCACCTTTACAAGCCTAGCTTGCTTCGAGGTCCTTGCCTAGGATTCGCCCTATGATTGCCGCTTTTTTCATTGTATCTACAACTTTCGTAATCATAGTCTCACTACTGAGTTCTTGTGCGTACTATGTTAGTTCACGAATTGCTTATCTCGGGTAAGTCTCTCCTCGATTTCGCAAGCCGATGCGTGGAGGGGCCTCGCCCCGCTGATGTGCACCAATCCCTTGAGTTATTTCGCTAGACCGCCAGCGTGGCAGCTAGAAACCTAGCGCACCGCGTCGGTTCTGTCGGTTCGGTGCCCAACAAGGCGGTTCGGGACCACGTTGAAGCTCCTCCCCCACCTCCCCAAAACCGAGGTCTCCACAACCACCAAATCCAGTCGCTGTCCCTCGCCCCAGTTCGCTGCCCCACTTCCCCTTACCCTCCCCTCAAACGGCCGAACTCCCCCCATTTGGTCTCAAGCCAAATACAGTAGAAGGTGTCGTTGTGCATGTTGCTCAGCTTCCACCCGTTGGCAATCTTTTCTGATGACTACAGTGATGCGCAGCTAGTGACGCCGCAAATTACCTGCAGAGCTAGCGACCCATGCGAATTGTAAAGACTGACTGCCGCACCACGCACGAGCACTGGTTCTCAACACAAAAGAAACCTTCTTATATCTGGATAATATTATCCCCTCACACTCCCTTTTTTCCCTTCATCCCAATTCTCGGCGATTAGAGCCATGGATCACAAGGACTCTCCGCTGTCGCCGGCGTCGTCGTGCGTGTCGTCGTCGTCGTACACGGTGTCAGCGGGCATATGGGCGATGAATATCCTCGGTGCAGTGGGCATCATCATGGTGAACAAGCACCTCATGTCCGCCTACGGCTTCACCTTCGGTAAGCACGCCATTATGCTTCACCCGAAGCTTTTGCGAGTTCGCGGCTTCACCGAGAGGCAGATAGTCACTACAAATATTCCAGCGGGAATGGAGAGTAGCCGCGACTTGAAAGGAGAGGCATCGATTATGTGTAATTAATCGTCCCACTCACTCCTTATCATCCCTGCCCCGTCGCGCGTCGCAGTGTCGACGTTAACGGGTCTGCATTTCGCCGTCACCGCGATCGTCGGCCTCCTCGCGTCCGCTCTAACCGGAAGCAGCAGCTGCGTCAGCAGCAGAAGCAGCAGGAGCAGCAGCAACGTAACTGGCAGCGGCGACGGCGGTGGCGACGGTAGCGGAGGAGGAAGAGAAGAAGGAAAGGCAGCAGCGGCGGTGCTGCCTCTGTGGGTACTCTTAGGGTTCGCGCTGCTGGGGAACGCGAGTCTGGTGGCGACGAATTTCAGCCTGCTGCTCAACTCGGTGGGGTTCTATCAGATCTCCAAGGTCGCCGTCATCCCGCTCGTCTGCCTCTTCGAGTCGCTCGCCTGGCGCCGCGAAATCGCTCGCAGCGTGTGGGCGGCGATGGCGGTGGTGATGGTGGGCGTGGGGCTGTGCACCAACGCCGACATCACTCTCAACGTCGCCGGCTTCTGCGTCGCCACCCTCGCCGTCGTCTGCTCCGCGCTGCACATGATGGTGCGTGCGACCCCTTGCGACACGTGCCGCGCGACGTGCGACGTGCGCCGGTGCTCGATTCGTCGTGGTTGTCGTTTTCATCGGCGCCAATTGATCTTCCTCTTGCCGTCATCCTCGCTCCTGCGGCATTCTCCTCAACGTGAAGACCCGTCCGTCGCCCTCACCCAACCTCTCGCTCCCTTTTTCTCCCGCACTCCCTCTCCCCCGCCGCTCGCTCCCCCCTCCCCTCTCCCCCCAATGATTCACTACTCGCAGCTTATTGGCTGGTTGCAGGACCACTACGCCACGTCATCGTTCGATCTGCTGAGTCAGACGGCTCCCCTGCAGGCGTTCCTGCTGCTGCTGATCGGCCCGCCCCTCGACTTCTACCTCACCTCGCGCTCGCTCCTCTCCTTCCACTTCTCCCCCGGCGCCCTCGTAAGCCCGCTCGCCCTTCCACTCCGCTCTTGTAATCATGTGCTCCTCAAAATGCACTCCCAAATCTGCACACCACCGCCGCACACACTCCCCACTCCTCCTCAGCGTCTACCCCTACCTTCCCCTCCTCATCCCTCTCTCGTCGATCTTCGTTTTCATCCCTTCGTTCCCATCCCTTCCCGCAGCTCTTCCTGCTGCTATCGGGGCTGCTGGCCGTGGCGTGCAACCTGAGCGTGTATCTGTGCATCGGCCGCTTCTCCGCCACCACCTACCAGGTGCTCGGCCACGTCAAGACCGTCCTCGTTATAGGCATCGGAGTCGTCTTCTTCCACTCTCCGCTGTCGCGGCACAGCATGCTGGGCATGTCGCTGGCCGTGCTGGGCATGGCCATGTACGGCCGCGCCACGCAATGTGCACGCAGTAGCACCAACAGCGGCAAAACGGGTGATTCTTGCACTGGTAATAGCAGCGGCGGTGGTGGGGGCGGTGGATGGAAGGTTGGCAGTGGGAGCAGCTTCGTCAGCAGCAGCCGAGAGAGTATGAGCAGCGGTGGTAGTAAGGAGATGGGGACAGGGAGGGCAGGGTGCATACCAGGCGGAGTGGCGTGCTGTGACGATGGCATAACGGTGGTGAAGCATGCATGGGGCAGGGTGATGTATGCATGGGCGTGGGACGAAGCAGAGCGCTCCTTTGTCCCTGTGGCTGGCAGGACCGCGGCAAGGGGCATAGGGTTGGCAGCAGGGGTGGGAGGAGGAGGCGGCGGGTTGATGGTGAGAGCGTCAGCAGCAGCGCCTCAGCTGCGGGTGCCGCTGCTGGGTGCCAGAGACCTGGAGGCAGGCAGGGGATGATGCTGATCGTCAGATGACGATACTCATCCCATGGCTAACGTTTCCAGGGGATTTCCAGCTGGGAACCAAGTGCTGCATTGGCAGCCTACCGTGCTCGCCATTGTGCCCCCTTGCAGTCACTGCTGTGCTGCTGCTGGCGCTGGTGCTGCTGCTGGCGCTGGTGTTGCTGCTGGCGCTGGTGTTGCTGCTGCTGGTGCTGGTGTTGTTGCTGCTGGCGCTGCAGCTTGAGGGTCCAATTAGCCAAGAGAACGTGCCTGCAAGTCCAAACCAGCCGATTGCTGCGGACATGCTGACAAGTCTAAACCCCAAACCCTAAACCCTGAGCATCTGAGAAGTCACCAGGCTACAGCTTCTGCGGCAGCAGCAGCGGAGGCAGCAGCAGCATTAGCAGGAGCAGCAACAGTAGGTGACAAGGAGTGCACTGCACCAAATCTCAACCACATCAGCCACCCAATGCTGTGCCATGCTGCAGTGCACTCTTGCCATCAACATGCTGCTCCGTGCCATCAATGTGCTGGCCTCGCCATGCAGACTCGTTCGCAACAGTTAAGGCGTTTTGTCTGCTGAACCCCCGCTCACATGCAGCGGTGTTTGTTGGAACCTCAGCAAGTGCCTGCTACAGGGTCAAGAGCAGCCCCTCACACCCTAAACCTCCTCAAGACAAACCCTCGTGTAGCCCCAAGGGCAAAACCTCAAACTAAATGTGTAGCGCTCAGGGCAAACCCTACTGAAATCGTGTAGCCCTCAAGGCAAGGGGGGTAAGACCACCCTGTCTCAGGGCGTTTGGAAGCTTCATCCTGAATTCCTAGGGCACCATTTTCCCTGTCACTTGTACTTATATGCTAATGTGAGATTCTGACATTCCAATGCAACAGAGTACAACAGTAATTGGTGTAGTAGCACATGGTTGCTTGTGGAAAAGAGAGGGGCAGGACACTCATGACCTAAAAAAGCAGGGCATGTACGGTACAACAATAAATTGCTGACGCTGGGAACAGCACCAACTGTCAAACTGTATGTTTGTGTTCTCTATAGGCTATAGTGGGTTAGCCTACAAGGGGTACAACACTTTAGGGTTACTTGTACCCAACTCCTTCATACGGTGGTTCATTCATTCCCGCTTAGTTGATTCTGACATGGTATTCAGAGCAGGAAACCTGTTACGTTATTAGGGCCCACCGATCGTTCCTGTTGACCGTTATTATTGTTCAGCGCCCTTGCGCTGTTCGGTCCTCTCGCACAGTGTCACGCTGCCCTGCAGTTACCGGTATTCGCACTGCCTGCCCTAGCGCGCTGCCCTGCTGTCAAGCGCGCCCCTGCTGCCCGCGAGCAGCCCCTGCCCCGAGCAGCCCCTGCCCCGAGCGCCTCTGCTGTCCGCGAGCAGCCCCTGCCCCGAGCGCCCCTGCTGCCCGCGAGCAGCCCTGCCCTGCGCGCCCCTTTTGCCCGCGAGCAGCCCCGCAGCCCAGCGCGCCCCGCAGCCCTAAACGCGCCAGCGCGCCCCGCAGCCCAGCGTGCCAGTGCGCCCCGCAGCTCAGCGCGCTAGCGCGCCCCGCTGCTATGTCAAATTATATATATATTACACATGTGTAGGCTGTAGGGAGGTAGCCAATATGGGGTATAGCCCCTTTAGGGTTTCATACTTGTACCAAACTTAGACCTAGTTCATTCATTCCTGCTAGTTGTTTCTGACATGATATTCAGAGCAGTAGGTCCGTAGGACCGATTTTTTAGGGCCCACCTACCGTTGCGGTTACTGAGCTGCCCCACCTGCCTTGCCTGCGCTGCGCCTCATGCGCGCGTCCTGTCTTGCCTGCGCTGCGCTGCCCGCGTGCGCTGCCTTTTTTTTTTTTTTTTTTTTTTTTTTTTTTTCCGCGCGCGCCGCCTTCGCCGCCCGCGCAGCTCGCTGCTGCCCCGCGCGCCGCGTCCGCCGCCCGCGTAGCCCGCTGTTGCCCCGCGCGCCGCGTCCGCCGCCCGCGCAGCCCGCTGCTACCCCGCGCGCTGCGTTCGCCGCCCTTGCGCAGCCCGCTTCTGCCTCGCGCGCTGCCTTACCCACCCGCGCGCCGCTTCAGCAGCTTGCGCGCGCCTCGCCGCTGCCCCGCGCGCCGCCCTAGCCACGTGCGTGCCGCCCCAGCAGCTCGTGCGCTGCCACTGCAGCCCTGTGCACAGCTTCTCCCGTCTGTGCTCTGCTTTGCCGCCTACGCGCTACTCTCACATGCGCTGCACTCATGGCGACTCTCAATGTCCTCGCTTTCGATCTTGACGGTCGCCCGATAGAGTTTGCCACTTGGCTCGACGACATGCAACTGTTTCTTATGACTGATGCCAAAGATGGAGTTTCACTGCTTGATCACGCGTCTGACACTTTCGTTGCTCCTGCTGACACTGCTGCCGCTCTTGACCGCTCACAGTGGCAGACTCGTGATGCTGCTGCGCGCCTCGCTATTCGCAACCATCTGCCGATCACTGAGCGCGCGCACTTAAGTCAGCACAAGACTGGTAAGGCACTGTATGAAGCTGTAGTTGCCCGCTACTCTTCCCCAACCATTGCAGCCCTAGGTCGTCTTATGCTACCCTACCTGTTCCCCGACCTGTCCTCGTTTACCACCGCTGAGGACCTCATCTCTCACCTCCGCGCTACTGATGCTCGCTTTCGTGCCGCCCTTTCAGACAAGTTCCTCGCCGAGAATCACCCCCCGATGTACTTTACTCTATACTTCCTCATCACCCGCCTCCCTGACACTCTTCGCTCAGTCAGGGACCACTTTCTCGCCCTAGACCCGACCACTCTCATTGTCGCCGACTTCGAGACGCACCTCCTAGCAGCCGAAAAGAACATTCTCGCTGTAGGTGCTGCTCGTGGCACTCCTCGCACTCCCCTCTTTGAGGGGTGCTCCCCCTCCCCTCTTGCCCCCTCTTACGCCTCTGCTGCTGCTGCTCGCGACTACCTTGGTGCTGAGGAGGTCGGGGCTGCTTCCGCTCCTAGTGGGAAGCGCCGCAACGCCAGGGGCAACAGGGGTGGCAGGGGAGGTGGAGGTGGCGGTGGAGGGGACGGTGGTGGAGGCGGCGGGGGTGGTGGAGGTGGTGGGGGTGGTCGTGGGGGTGGAGGTGGTGGTGGGGGCAGCGAGGGTACCGGGGGCAGTGGAGGTGGCAGCGGTGGGAGTGGGGGAGGAGGGAGCGGTGGTGGCAGTGGTGGTGGGGGCTGGAGTGGAGGCGGCCAGAAGGGGAGCTCCAGTGGTGGCTAGGGACAGCAGCAGCAGCAGCCGCATCAGCAACAGCAGCAGCGTCAGCATCAGACCCCCACGTCTCAGCAGCTTCATGACTGGTACGCTCAGCGTGGGGCGTCTGGGGGTCCTGTTCGCTGCACCAATATCATTCGCACAGGTCCCCGCGCTGGTCGCCCATGCAACGGCTTTCACACGGAGTACCGCTGCTTCTCTCGGCTTACCGACGCCTGGCGCGCCAAGTTTCCTGAGGCTACTGAGTTTCCCCCTTGGGCAGACTTGCTTAGGCGTGATGTTCCTATCTTTGATCTTGACTATGATGCAATTCTTGCTGCTATGTACGCATTGAGTGTTAGTGCTAAGGGTGACTGCTACTTGTGTATGCCGCCTGACCCAGGTATAGAGCTTGCAGCCCTAGGTGCTACTGAGTATGTTCTCCCTGTTACTGCGTCCGCTCAGGCTTTGCACACCTTTACACTTGACTCTGGTGCTTCCCGCTGTTTCTTTCGCGACAGTACCACAATCACTCCCCTTGCTGCACCTGTCCCTGTCTCACTGGCTGACCCCTCTGGGGGCCCAATGCTAGCACGGTCTGTCAGAACATTATAGCTTATGCTTTTGTGTAGGCTGTAGTGGGGCAACCCGTATAGGGTACAACCCAATTAGGGTTAGTACTTGTACCCAAATCTTTCATAGTGCATTCATTCTCGTTTCAGTTTTCTCATGGTATCGAGCAGTTTCCCTCGTGGGAACTGTTCCTAGGGCCCACCGATTCGATTTTTTTTTCCTGCCCGGAGCGTGCTCCGCCCTTGCCCGAGTCGCGCTCCCCCTTTCTCACTGTATCACGCCGCCCTAGCGGCTGTGTCGCGCCGCCCTTGACGGCCCCGATTCGCCGCCCTAGCGGCCCCGTCACCTACCCCGCGGCCCTCGAGCCGCCCTTTGCGGCTCCGATTCGCCGCCCTTTCGGCCCCGTTGCCTACCCCGCGGCCCTCGCGCCGCCCTTCCCGACCCGGCCCCGACCCTGCGGCCCCGTCGCCTACCTGCGGCCCCGCCGCCTACCTGCGGCCCCGCCGCCTACCTGCGGCCCCGCCGCCTACCTGCGGCCCCGCCGCCTACCTTCGGCCCCGTCTGTTGAACAAGGAATGAAATGACTAAGGATGAAATGAGTACAAATATGGAAACCTAGAAGTGTGTACCCCCTATAGGCTAACCCACTGTAGCCTAAACAACTACAACAATATATATAATGTTTGACACCGTCGCCTACCTACGGCCCCGCCGCCTACCTGCGGCCCCGTCGCCTACTTGCGACCCCGCCGCCTTTCTGCGGCCCCGCCGCCTACCTGCGGCCCCGTCGCCTACCTGCGGCCCCGCCACCTACCTGCGGCCCCGTCGCCTACCTGCGGCCCCGCCACCTACCTGCGGCCCCGTCGCCTACCTGCGGCCCCGCCGCCTACCTGCGGCCCCGTCGCCTACCTCTGGCCCCGTCGCCTACCCTAGGGCCCCGGCCCAGCCCCTACTGGCCCCGTCGCACGCCCTTCCCGGCCCCGACCCCGCCTTCACGCGGCCCCGCCGGGCTACTGCCGAGCCGCCAGCGCCACCCGAGCCGCCGCGCCACCTGAGCCGCCCAAGCCGCCGCCCCGCCGAGTCGCCTGAGCCGCCCGAGCCACCCGAGCCGCCCGAGCCGCCGTCCCGCCGAGCCGCCCGAGCCGCCCGAGTTGCCTCAGCCGCCCGAGCCGCCCGAGCCGCAAAGTAGCAGAGTAGCCGAGCCGCCCGAGC